CTCAGCTGTTCCCGTGCACTCACCCAGATCTCAAAGCTGTGATGATGCAATCAGCACAGAAGCGATGCAAACATTCTTTGGTGGTCATTGTGTTCTTCAGCATGTCCAGACAGATAGGACACATAAGTTCACTGTGCAGGGACCTGGGGGACACTGCTATCTCCAGGCCATCTGTGATGGCCTCCTGTGAAGCAAACACACAGACTGAGGTTAGCACCGAGACGACCAGCCGAGCCACAGGCTGACGGTGATGAGGTGGTGTTAATGATCACCTGTGGAGTCCTCTGTAGCTCGTACAGACTCAGCTCCCAGGTCTTGCTGAGGGGTTGGACCCCGTTGGTCTGAACTGTCTGAGTCATCACTGAACCTCTGAAAAACAAAGGAAAAATGGAGACCCTTCTGCAAATCAATGATAACGAGTCATTCACTCCACATTAATGTAAGCACAGCACACTTTGTTCGTGTGTAATTTACGTTGAGTAGGCTAACCACGTTATTACATTAATGCATGTAAGGTGAACTAGCAAACATCATCATAGCTACATGCAGCTGTCTTCTTGTTTGATGGCAGATGCTCCCTTCACCCTGGACAAAAAGGCTAAAATGACCAAAGAAAAAGTGGAAAACAGTTAAACATGAGAGGTTTTTGGACAAAGTTTGTGTTTTTTCCATTGATTAAGCTCTGCTTCCAGCCAAGAGTGATGCCATATATGCCCCATAGCTGCAGAAAAGGCTAACATTGTTATGTTTTTACAAAAAAACAGACATAAATATAAGGATGTGTAAATGATCAGAATTATAATATTTCCGACTGAGCAAACACTGAATCAATGGGGACTTACCCGGCCCAGCCCTAGTCATGCTCTACATGAAAAATAAAGAGAAGGAAGACAAAGACGGCAGTAGTACCTATTGGTAAATGGACTGATTCTTATAGAGCGCTTTTCTACTCTCCTGGAGTCCTCAAAGCGCTCTACACAACATGCCACATTCACCCATTCTCACAAGCACTTTCTCTGTATGCTGTCTAACTACATTCACACACATTCAGGGTCCAATTGGTCGGAGAGCAACTTGGGGTTCGTATCTTGCCCAGGGATGACATGCAGACTGGAGGAGGCAGGGATCGAACCACCAACCTTCCGATCAGTAGGTGCTCTACCTCCTGAGTAACAGCCACCCCAAATCAACCTAATCAACTACACTCGGCTTAGCTTGTTTTCCATTACAACTGAGTCATGTGGGTGAGGTTACAGCAACGCGGCCTGAAAGTTGCGTGTAGCTTGTACCAGGTCATAACACCTAATGGAAAAAAAGCCGAGTCCAGTTGAACCAAACAGGTACAAGTGGAAAAGAGGCTTCAGCGGCACACAGAAAGCATCCACCACATCATACCTGGTTGCTGTGGACGGAGGCGTTGCTACAGTGGGAGGAGTCTCCATTATCCTCAGCTCCGCTGCCGTTCTCCACGGTGTGT